GGGAACTGTATTCCATGTGAAGCCGAACCTGCGCCTTGTAAAGTTGCAGGCCGTGTGCCGGCATGAAATACTGTCCCGCTCTGCTGAGCACGCCAAGCTTTTTAGAGGTCAATTTCGCCTTCTGTTCCAAGTGACTATGAAACTGCACGTCACTCGATATGTCGACAACGAGGATTCCGATACTGGCTGAGGCAACAAGGGGAGTGCCTTGAAACTGAGGAGATACGAGGGTTAAACTGGACTAGATTTAGTCGCCCCCAATCCGAGACTTTGTTCAGCAAAGACAAGACTTCAGACACAAGTTTGTCCCGGTACTCGGAGACGTTTTCCCGAGAAATACTGGCACGGCCGGTGTACAGTAGTAATACACAGTAGTGCGGGTGGGCTTCTGTGATTTTAGGATTACGCCTAGGGAGTAAGAGCACCGGAAAAGACGCGTTAGAACCGGTGCCAACCTTGGAGCAGACATCATCAGCACAATTGGGGGATTCCGTCAGGCCCACTCGACTTGTGGATGTCCAGGGAGAGGATTGCTTTGCGAAGCGAGTGCTGTATGAATCGCACATCCGGCATGGAGCATTAACACCGCGGGATGGTCGGCGGTGCGCTCCCCCCGTCGTCGAGAGTCGTCGAGTTATAGCTCAATGTCAAATATTAATATTCTTATATCAATTACTAATAATGTCAATTATAAATGTTACATGTCCAATTGTCATTAATTCATTTCAATTTTATCAAATTTACTTATTAAATAAACCAAATTTTCAATTTATAAAAATACCATAATTTAAATATTGTGTCAGACTCAAAAATATCGCCTACTTATGGGTAAAGAAGTCTTTATTTGTATAAAAAGATTGCTGATGATTTTTAGGTGAGTTTTCATTCTCACTGCTGGTAACTCTCTTATTGCTTTAGGTATCTGATTAAAAACTTTTATACACATTACGTAACAATTTTTGTGGAACAAAACTGTCCTGCAGACAGGCATTAACAATCTAGATAGGTCCCTTTTACCTATAATAGAATTGTCGCGAGCGCTAAAAAATAAACACTGATTTTTTTGACAAATATACACACCTCTAATATATACATTGCAGTCAGCGTTAGCAAATTATTATTTTAAAATAAAGGTCTACATGATTCCAGGGGCCCGACGTTACATAGAGCTCGTATACATTTCCTTTATTCATAATCTTTATACCTCCCTCAATTGCGTGTGCTATCACTATAAACTAGGACTGGATCCCTGTTTTACGTCTATTTTTACTACACATCCTAACGAGGTAGCTCCTTAATTAATTTTTTATCCTATTACACAGATAGGAATCCATTAAATGAAGAACATACTCCTACGCCGTTATCGCATTCACTTAGCAAGTTGCGTGCTCACGCAATCAAATGTTTTTCTGTGCCATTAAGTTGTGTACAGCCGGACATCGGTTTATTATTGCAATTCGTTTGAATTAATTTGTATAACATCCACAAAAGCAATGACAGTCGTTATTTCGGTAAAACTTCTCATAAACCAGTTATTTTAAAAATAAATAATATTGTATACGAATAAGAGCCTACCTCTTAATGAAATACATGTTGTATTTTGGTTTTGTGTGGTGGTTTTTTTTTTTGGTTTTTTATTTATTTTTTTTGTTTTTTTTTATATTTTTTTTTTTTGTGTTTATAAACACAACCCTTGTGGTAAACGTGGTCCCAAAAAATGACTCAATTTTTGGAGACCTTAGCAGTCTAATAGACCAAAAAAGGGCGTTTTAAGTTAACTTTATCCCAAAAGAAAACTATCTTGTGTATTATAAATATGCCATCAGTGAATTGTTAAACAAATAATTAGGATTAATATAAAAGTTAACGAGTGTTTATTTCAAAAAATCAAAATATAGTCCTTGGACTCACGATGGTTATTAGTGGGATTTTAACAAAGGGGGGGGGATTAAGGGTTAAATTTGATAAAAGAGTGCCAAGTTAGATACTATCGAAATCAATAATAGAACTACCTGTATCTGAGGCAAGTTCAATGATGTACTTAAAAAAGAAAACCTTCAAAATTTCACCATTTTACCATACCCGAACGGACATGCTCCTACAAGTAGCAACTGTTTACAAATAATATCACGTATGTGGCAGCCATAGCTATAACCAGACTTCATCACGTGTCCATGGAATCATTTATTTCTCCGACGTGCAGGTTTGCTTATGATGTTTAATTTCCTTCACCGACGAGAACGTGTCAAATCAGAAATAAAAATTTTAATTAAAAATTTTATTGTTCCCTGAGGGCAACCAGCCGGGGTTGGTCACGCACTGTAAAATTTAAGGCCCTAGCGTAATGATCTGCAGTACTTACTTACTTAAGATGCTACTTAACACACAACAATACTTTTTAACTTCCCAGTGGGAAGCTATTGTAATGGGTCCGATTTTGCAAATTGGAAATTTTAAGAGTTTGGAGTCTTTAGAGGCGATTAGTGTAGTTTGATGTCCGTGTGTACGTAAACGTGCACACGTTTACGTACCTATGTATGTATGTATGTTCGGATTCAATTTTCGCCTCGTGTATCTCGAGAACAAAGAGTGATATTGACTTGAGACCAGTTTCATTTAACGCATGATTATGTAACTTAGACCTTATTAAATTTTGAGCAAAATCGGTCAAGTTTTTTGTGCCGAATGAAAAATTGTATAAAATATTAAAACATATGATATTTTTTATTTTTTCCTCTGGGAAGTTAGTCGTGTGGACTTTTCGGGTTTCACCTTTTTAGTAATCATACCAGTTTTCAAAAAGTTTCAAAAGTATTTTAACTTGTTCCAAACATCGTACAGTTATAACAAACTAATCTTCTACATTAATTTATTCCACGTATTTCATTACGTTAGGGCCTCCCACCTCGTGTGTTCCAGTTTAAAGAAAGTTCAATTTTCATAATCTTTAAACCTCCCTCAATTGTATGTTATGTAATAAATTTATATCTAAATCATTTTTTGAGCAGGTTTGTGTAGGTTAAGGAAGTGCACCGCGCAATGCATGATTGGCAGACTTCGCGTATTATTTTTGAAATATTTTTAAAGTTTTGCTCTTGACAAATATCGAAATTTTTATCAAAAACTAGACGTAGGCCACAGTTTACACAACATTTTGATGAGATTTTTTCAAATAAACGAATGACACTCATTATCTCACCTATTAAATTGGCTAAGAGCCGCGTAAAATATGAAAATTATTTGTTTTACCTAGTTTGGAGAGCGTCTCCCGCCCTGCCTCAATAGCATACATTGTCCCCGTTACCACTTAACACCATGTAGCCGTGGAAGGAAAAGGGGAGATCTCCCGCCAGGCAAGGTGTTCTGCCTGGGGAGCGGCCGACACTCCATGTGATAATTCGGAGATGTTCTATATATACTGTTTATGATTCGGAATGTTGATAGCGCGATTTAGGCTTCGGTGTGTTTTTCGCTCGTGGCGGCGACGACAGCGCCGCTACATCACCCCCCTGCTCAGACTGGAGGTCGATAGTGCAGTCGAGTTGTCGACGAATGTGCAAGTGCCAGGAGATTGCCTTGTAGTCTGCGGTGAGTCGAGAAGAAGGCAAGTAATCTGCGAGAGTGCCGTGAAGCAGAGGCGAGCAGTAAGGCTCAGAGCCGTGCCGAACACTGTATGGCGCAGAGAGTAGCTTGAAGGAACAGGAAGCATTATTATTCCAGTGCTGCGATGAACCTTGTGAAGCTAGATGGCTTGCAGGATATGAAGACTGCAGACGATATCTGCTTGGGAGCGAATGGGTGGGGTATTCAATGAGGGTAGGAAAAAGGGGAGATCTCCCGCCAGGCAAGGTGTTCTGCCTGGGGAGCGGCCGACACTCCATGTGATAATTCGGAGATGTTCTATATATACTGTTTATGATTCGGAATGTTGATAGCGCGATTTAGGCTTCGGTGTGTTTTTTCGCTCGTGGCGGCGACGACAGCGCCGCTACAACCACTACACCACGATAATTGAGTATTTTCTAGTATAGTGGTAATTAATTTTGACAACTTTAATATAATTGATTTTCGCCAAGTAAGTAATGCCTGATTTCATTATCATTTAGCAAATAATAGGGGAACCCTTAAACATAAAAGGGCGGATTCTTAAGAATAAAAAGGTAGCATAAAGTTTTATGTTTAAGGATCCTCCTTAGTATAAAGTACTACTACCTACTTCTAAGTACTGGTACTACCAGCTGCTGGGCTTTTGAATGAAACATCATGAGGACCATCCTTGGAAAAGAATGTTGTGTCACAGGGGAGTAGCTTATAAGCAAGCATATAATAACAGAAAATCTCAGCCCATTTACTCTCTTTTCGTTATGTGGGTGCGCACAACTGTCGGCACGACTTACTCGGCCCTACGTTGAGATCAGTCTCCTTAAGGCTTTGAGGTAACCGACCCTTAGGTAGATGTTTCCCTAGTGGGCTAAATACGCTGAAAAAGTCAACAACGCCGTTTTTACGGCCCCTCGACTTATCCACAGTACGGGACCGTGAGGAGAACCCGGGTGAAGGGGGACCCCCCGAGGCCCGAGAACTGCTGGGTAAAAGAATCTCAAGCAGACGACGACAATGAGTAATTAGAACCGCAGTAGTAACCGTCTTTAGGGGTAATAATACATGATTTTATTCTGGAATAGATTTATATAGATATACTCTTCCTCTTTTCTCTTTCACTCTGCTCAAATATTTTCTCAGAAATATCGAGAGACCAGTATTAGGTAGTGGGCCACATTTAGGTTATTAATTTTACTAAAACACAAAAGCTGTTTTATATTTAAATACATTATACTGAGTAAGAGCTTTTACATAATATGATGGACTTAATTGTTTTTTCTTCCATTTTTATTTACTTATTCACGTTTCTGTCAAAATTTGGCGTTGTATAAATATCAAAATTAAATTACCAATATTTATGTTTATTGATTTATTTTAAACAGCGAATCAGTTTTCATCTAATAGAATCGTCTTCGGGCGTATGGAGCAGCGTAACCGAAGGTACCGTAGCCGGCGATGTTACCGTAGATATAGGGATAGCCGTATCCGTAGGGAACTGCGGTGTAAGCGAAAGGAGCAGCTGGGATCAGGGCGGGGTCTTTCCTGATATTAGCATTGAAGCCCTCAGCACCAGCGGAGTAGTCGACAGTCCTGCGGGTTCCATCAGCCTCAAGCAGAGAGTATTGGCCCAGAACATTGTCACCGGCGCGGCTTTCAATCTGACTCTTGTAGTCACCGGTGTAAGGATCAGCAACACCATAAGAGAAGCCAGAGTAATCCGAGGCACTGACTGCTGCCACAAGGGTAAAAAGGAAGACAAACTGAAATAAAATAGAGAATTAATTAATTTTTATCGAAACTTACACATTAACGCCGTTGCGCTATGTATTTTTCATACACTGCATATGCACTATTTTACACTCAAATTGACAAACATATATTAAGCCACAAGAGTCTAATCCTACTCGGACAGTATTTAGATGATTTCACAATAACACTGTCTTCCAGACCGAATTGATATAACGGTAGCCAGTCTCGACGGAGACTAGCCATCTGCGCAGAATAGTATCCAGAATAGTAGTTCCATTTCCTCACTCTCATAATCCGATGAGACTGTAATCTCACATGACCAGAAAGAGATCAGACACAGGACCAACGTTTCACGTTTTAACGTGCTTTCCGAAGTACACGGGTGAAACACTGCTAATTTCATGTCACCGGGCTGCTACTGACGGATTTTTACCCTGTCCGGGATTGAAAACAGGGACCACACTATCAGCAGCTGCACTTATGGCCACTAGACCAACGTGGCAGTCATATTAGATGATTTCTTCTTTTATTAAAGAAACATATTTCCTTTTCAGAAGCCCTGGCAATCACAACGTACTGACATCATCATAATGATCATCGTTACAATTACACAATCAACAACGCGTCTGATAGAACTGTAAAAGTTATCTGGCTTATATCAATTATTTCATGGGAATCATATCATGACGTCAATCATACGATTACTTTACTGATTTATTTTTATGCGGTTAATTCACTGTACTGATTGTTTATTTAATTTACACAAAAACTTCACAATTACGTTCGCAACCATTATTGTTGTTTTATTATTGGAGTAAATACACGGACGGCTTCTCTTTAACTGATGCTGTCATTGGCTCATTAACATATATTATATGATTGTGTTATATACATTCTAGCTAAATATCCAGTTGCACACAAGTAGGAAACAAATAAATGTCAAATTGAAATTTACGTTACGCACAACTCAACGTTAAAATTTAATGGATTGTTGCCGGTAAGTTAAATAATGGATATTATTTGAACCGTGACAAAAAACATACTGTCAGTCGTAGGACAGCACGTCGTAAGTGAAAACTTCGTAGCTTTACAAACTTGTAAATATTATGTTTGCCCGAGCGTGACCGTCACGTGAGTTTAATGCTGTCTTCCCATCACAAAAGTGCCTTAAGCAGATTTCACTTCGGAAATTAATAGGCAGCGGTAAATCCATTTCCATTTCTCATTTTGTGCCACGGGTACTAGCGGGTATCACCAAATGTAATTTAAGCCACCGACAGAAATTATAAAAAAACTATCTTGAACCTTGCAAATCTAAATTACTCGACAAATAAAAGTAAAAGATTTTTTTTTATAGAATAAGGATCACAAACATACACACAGTCCCCCTGATGGTAAGTAGATGCTGTGGCCCATAGAAATCTACATTTAACCTCGATTAAGAACCAAAATGCAGATGCGTTGTCACCCCTGAGGACTAAGATGGAATGCCTCGATTCCAGTAAAACGGATTTCCGGTTCTCTACCCTCACCATAAGAGCATTAAGCTGCTATTTTACACTTGTATTGTGTGAGAGCGTGGTCCTTCCTTGGTCGAGCCGACCCATTCGTGCTACAACCGTAAAATAGCTGCAGAGTGGCTCTACCTCAACGAAAATATGAAAGTAAAAAGATCAACGTTAGATACGTAATCAACGTTCAATATCGTGTATTAGGTGGCAGGATTCCTTTCTACCTGGGAGCCCGGCTGTGTAGGTGTGGCACACAACAGTGCCAGCACTACTGAGTTCGGCTCTGAGGGGTGAAGATAAGGGGTAAAGATGGTATAACTACTAGTAGTGAGGCATTAAAGCTTAGTTCTTAGAGGTGACAATGTATCCGTAGGCGCATTTGATTGAAGTCAGTTGCAGTTATACTATATACTACGATTAGCGATATTCGGTGTCGACAAAGTTATTTGTGCGGTTCATGCTCTATTGCGTATTATATATATATATATATATATATATATATATATATATATATATATATATATATATATATATATATATATATGTGTGTGTGTGTGTGTGTGTGTTTGTGTATGTATTTGTTTATTATACAAATAAAAACTTATATCTTCTTAAACTATACCTTGAACTTAAAAAATTTTCAAAAAATTTTAAATTTCCACATATGAATCACAAAAATGAAGATAAATTTTGAAAGAGTCATAACAATCGCAAGTATCTTATATTCATATTAATATGTAAAGGGAAAACTTTGTACCCATTTTTAATCATTTGCGTGCACGGAGAAATGTGAGATTTGTCATAGTTAAAGTTTATATAGAAAAGGAGTGCAGAAAGCTAAAATTTATATACAGTTACAAGTTAAAAAAAAAATTGGAAAATTTGACCATACTCTACATGCTGTGTATATATACCATACTGTACATGCAGTGGTTTGGTGAACGAAAAACCCAAACCTGTCTGATATATTTCGGTTCAGCAATTCAGAATGGATTGCCTCCATAAATGTGCAATGCAAAGTAAACAGATGAGGTCGCTAATCTTCTATACATAAAATAAAAATGTAAATTGCAGATGTCTGTGCATTTTATATTTCTGTAACAAAATTAATTGAGAGGGACTAAAAATAAGTAACTAAATACATTTCTATCATTTGTAGATTTGTCTGTCTGTTTGTTTGTTAACGTATCGTGTATAAAGTGCTGATTTATATCAAAATAATCGTTAGGAAAATTATGTAGCATATCTTCGTTTTAAATTTAGTCTCTGTTTCATTAATATCGGTTCATCCTATCAAAAGTTATGATTAATAATCTGAAGTATGGGTACGAAATATAGGTACGAATTTGTTAAATGGTGACGTTGAGTGATCAAGGACATTTTTGTAATTATTATATTACCTCAGCTCAAATTCTAATTTCGCACCCACTTTCCCGCGCGTCTTGCTTGACATTTTGTAATCACTATTACTGTAAGTAAATAAGTCGTTAGATACTTATTTTATTAGGTTTATCATATTTATGCCTGTTTCTTTACGCCAACCTAGCCGCTTCTTATTTTTATTACGGTTATTTCTCATTTCAATTTTACGTCGTCCTGTTGCGTTATGTGTATTCTGAAAGTAGGGGACACAGCTTTCCCGTTCGAAATCTGAAGCGAGACTTATCAGGTGGTAGGAAACAAGGTTCAAGACGCCGATAGTTTAAGTAATTTCTTTTTACAGTGAAAATAATGGTAATTTAAAAATAATAAAAAACATAAGCCCCGCTTTATAGTTAGTTCAGTTAGTATGCAAAGTTTCGTGATCTAATTTAAAGTATTTTATGAATACCAGCGGCTTATTGTTTAGTTTGGAGGTAGCTTTGGATTTTTTCTATCGAGAAAATTTTAGGGAATCGCGTTTTATCGTGTTTAATATAGTACTTAATGATAGAACGTCCAAGCCCTAATCCTGCTGGAAGGAGCTTCCGGAAGGACAATCCTAGGGACGTGCGTCCTGCTAGCAGTACGCAATATTTTGTGGATTTTTAATGGATGTCAGACGCTGTTCTTCTAGCAGTACTTGACTTTAATGCGTAATAAAATTAGGCAGGGGTGACGTATTAACATTCTGTAATTTAGTATAGGTATCTAGGAATAGCTTTTTTTTTTGCTTTGCTTCATGTCTTGAGGATCGCCTAGCAACGTTCACAGAGAAATTTCAACCGCCGGAACAAGCTGGTTTCAGGAAAAACTTCTCAACAATACATCACATTCACACTTTAAATTTGATTATAGAGAAATATATAGAGCACAATAGACCAGTCTACCAGGCATTTATCGACTACGCAAAAGCCTTCGACTCTATATCACATACGAGCATGTGAAAAGCTCTACATGAGTGCGAAGTACCATCGGAGACTATAGATCTTATAAAAGACACAAAAACTACAAAAAAAGACTACAAAAGCAAAAGTCGTGTGAAGTTAGAGAGACATGGCCCTGAAATAAACATTTGTAGAGGCGTCATACAGGGTGACCCCCCTGTCACCTAGAATTTTATAACTGTGCTACAAAATATAATGAAAACTCTGAACTGGGAAAAGACAGGAATAAATATAAATAGCAAACTCCTCAGTAATCTTCGATTTGCGGATGACATCATACTCTTCTCCGAAACAGCATCTCAATTACAGAAAATGATTAATGAACTAAATGATGTAAGCAATACTATTGGCTTAGAACTAAATGCTACCAAGACTAAAGTCATGACGAACCACCATATTATAGATACTAATAAGGGTCAATAACAATATATTAGAATACGTTCAAAGCTATGTTTACCTGGGACAACAAGTATATTTCTCTAAGACAAGACACGAAGATGAGGTTAAAAGACAAATTAACATAAGCCGGAATAAATTCTGGAGCAATAAAGAAGCCTTAAAATCAAAACTCCCTATAAAACTCAAGAAAAAAATAATGGATACATGTTTACTACCCTGCCTTACTTATGGCTGCCAAACATGGATATACAATAATAAGACTAAAAACAAAATACAAGTATGTCAGAGAGCAATGGAAAGGGGTATACTAAATATACAAAGAAAACACAGAAAAAGAAACACAGACATAAGAAATACAACAAAAATAATAGATGCTTTGGAACATTCCCAAAAACAAAAATGGAAATGGGCGGGTCATATTGCGTGTATGGACAAAGAAAAATGGACACAGCTTTGTGTCCAAAGTACCTAACTGGCAAGGACCACCAAACAAAAGGAATAGAGGGAGACCGAGAGAAAAATGGGTTGATGAAATAATAAGAAAAGCCGGTGAAAATTGGATCACAAAGGCAAAGGACAGACAGAAGTGGAAAAAAATGAGGAGGCTCCCGTTGAGGGATCCGTAATGATTATGTTATAAATTTTGTATGCAAACTGATCTGAATATTTATTTTGTTTAATATTTTGAAATTTATATAAAATTTAGAAATTATTCGATTGTAAATTATTAATTCTGATAATTATGAATTGTATTATTTTGTTATATGCATGCATAATTATGCGATCGTAATCTTAAGATATTATTATTCTTTTTCTAGTTCATTCATTATGGAAATAAAGAGGCTATATTATATTATTATCTAGGAATAGACGCGGGCGCTTCTTGGTATTACGGGGTAGAAAAATAAACAAGAATATGAAAGGAACTTACTGAAAAAAATATTTATTAAAAAAAGTTATGCAGGAATTTCATTCGTGATGTGGTAGGTGAAGCAGTTTCTTCCTGTCTGTGGGAAGCATAAAACACATCGCAAACCACATGTCTTGCAAAAGTAGCTCGCTTTCTGCTGTTTCTTGTGGACTCTCGAACAAACTATACACTTGTGTTGAACTCTCTTTCTGTCATCTGATTTTGACAAGGCTTCAAGAATGTGTTCTCTCATATGAGGGATGTGCTCATGTGGTGGCGGCTCATTCTCTTGTAGGTTATTAACGTCATTTTTAGTCAGAGCGAATACCAGGTTGGTAGTAAACCATGTGTGAGACACCTGGTCATGTTCGGCGCGGAAGAAATTATTAAAAATCAAATACACATTTGTTTCTATAATGCCTAGAACTGAGGCATAAACTCTATGTTCCCATTCATGTGTGCCCCAAGCTTTCTCTAACGCCAATCCGTCCTGCCTGATGTGGTTATGAATATCGATAGCTGCAGCATCATCAAAATACCGCTGGACTAATTTAGGCCTAGCGACTTCTCTGAAAAATAAATTTCCTTCATCGTCCCACCTTCTTTTGCGTGATGGCAGGCCTGACAGTGTCGTTTCACAAAACAAATCGTGTCGTGGCAACAAATGTATGAGTTTTATTGTCTTTCCAGGCACAGGCAAAAAGCCGCACTGAGTCTTTTTCAGCTGTACTTACAACAAATGCCCCCCTTGTGCGTCGTACACTTTGCACCCATATCCGACACGGGATAGAAACTGTGTGCTGTCTTTACCAGTCCAATGAAATATAATCCAACTTTGAATAACTCCACAGCTATTTTGACCGAAGCAAATCATGGGTTTCCAACAATAACACTTCCAGAACCATGCCACGGCTCTGTCAATCTCAAAGTAGTTGCAGTTCCAGTGCCAAATTCTCTTTGCCATTTCTTCGTACTCATTGCTTCTTTACCCTCATTAATTTTCAATCTCATCATAATGTTTGTATTACTATCACACGCTATTTTTACTTCACAACCCACTCATTTTGGTTTTCTTTTTAATTTTCATAACTAATGGCATCACGTCTTTGAAGTACGCACCTCTTCCATACTAGGCGAACATGGATTCATCTACAGTTATTTTTGCACCAGGACGGATGGTATCTTTTAGTTTATCATTCACCATCATTACTAGTGTTCTGGTGTTACGCGATTTGTCAGAATCATCAAGGTCTGATGGTTGTGTGAAGCGCAGGGCCACTAGAATGATCTCAAACCTTTGACGACTCATTACAAATCTTTGTCCAAAATTTTCGGGGGGAAATATTCCATCGGAGATCGTATTCCAGTAGAATCTTCGGTCTGGCAGTTCTTGAAGAGTCATGGCATATAATATACCAAAAAAAAATAATTCCTTATCGCTCAATAGTTTCTGTCTAGGGGAAAACCTATCACCAAAATGTTTGCGACTCCAGGTGTTCTGGCCATCATTTTCATCGAAATATGTAGCTTTGACGTGAACGCGGACACCACGTGTTATACTCGCCGCCATTTTGGCCAGACTGATCGCAGAAACACGATTGAAAAACTCGCTGAATCAGAAAAAGACGCACTATGCATGTTAGTAAATCCTAAAAGTCCTGCTCGTAAGCCTAGTAAGCCTCATATAACCAAAAACATTGCGTCCTACCGGTAGTACGAAAAGTCCTGCTGGTAGGACTCTGAACGTTCTATCATACATACATTAATTTTCAACTTTACCATATATTTGTTTCAAAATTAATGCTGTAATATTTTCGGCATAATGGAGGATCTTGCTAATCCATTTGAGGTAGTATAGGCCCTTAAATAGTGTAAAATAGCGCTCTATAATGATATAATTGTATCTAAACGCAGTAAACAAAAATAATAAAGAATAACGTAATAAATATTTATAGAAAATATATAAATCCTAATAACTTAGGTAAAAAAGTTTAATAGTTAACCAATGTCATCGATACATGGTGTTATGCAAATTATTCATTAATTTTTAAGTAGGTGTGCTTATAATTTATTTTAACCACGAGTACCTACAGCATGGTAAATCAAATTTTAAAGGACCTATTAACAATTTCTTTGGTTTCGGCAAGGATCATATATCTTGGCAATAAATATGTATATGAAGAACACATACTTCCATTTTACATTTCCAAAAGTTTTAAAATCTATATTGTCGTGAAAGCGAAAAATTACATTACCCGGTTTTGAGTTTTTTTTTTATATATTCCTACCCGTTCTTTTCTAAATATCATATAATTTGTATTTTTCTGTAATAATAAATTAACTACTATAACTTTATATAGATGACGCTATAAGTAATTTCAAGCACCATAAGATTTAATTATAAACGAGAGATCGCACCTCCGACAAAATAGGGTTACAACTTGAAAAACCTGGTTTTTTTGGAAAAGCGAAATTGAACTCATGGAGTAGTTATACAGTCTATATTCTTGTAATATTGGTATTATGTGATACATTTTATATATAATTGAAAATCTTACAAAAATATATTAAAATGACATCAGCTTTTTAAATTTCCTGAAAAACAACCTGAAAATTTATAATTGTAACGGTCTCTTGATAACTATTTCTTTCACTAACTTTACATGTACTTTTATCTTATTAAACGTTTTTCAAGTTAATAAATATTTGTACAGTTGTAGACTTGGGAAAAAATCAATTCTAACAATACAAAGTTTAAAAAAATTACATTCTGGTCATCTAATGTGAGAATCGTAAAGGGATACTCCTTAATAAGTAATATTAAATACTAGTAGGAACTATAATCATCTCTATAAAAATCAAAACCACATAAAATTTAAGTTTAGTGTATAGGGTGCATAGTAATCAAAATATAACTGATATTCATTCAATTACTATTGTTTGTAAAAAGGCGCATAGAACTGTGGTATATGATTACTATTGATCAGTTTGTGATGAGCTTTTTGAGTTGTAACCATATTTTATCGGAGGTACGATATGAACAACACTTATGTACATAATTACTTGGCTCACTGCTTTCAACGCAATGTGTATTGGACGCATAGACATAAGAAAGATGGAGATATGTCCAGTAGTTGAAAATGTATTGGGACCCGGTGTCTCGGTGTCTCCAGTTGGCCCCTACCACGCGCCAACTACTACACATGCAGATCAGTAAAAGCAATAGATACAGAGTCGCGCATACACTCGCATTTTATAAATCAGAATGCTCTACACAATCAATTATAAACCATATCTCTGAAAACACAGCGTGCATTTACCATTCACCGTGCTACTTACTCACACAAAAATATCAGTCACTATCGTTGTGCTGTAAAAAAGCCTGATTGAAAGATTTTTTCATTTAAACCAATATTGTATAAAATTTTTTTGGGCCATGAATAAAAAATAAATAAAATACGATATGTCCAGAGAATAGTGTAATAAAAGTAAATAATATGTAGGTAAAAATACAATTATTGAGTACCTGAACTAAAAAGTTTAAACAATAAAAAATCCGGTTATGTTGGTTTAGGCTATCATAGCGGATTGAATTAGTAGGTATTTTGGAACCCTGCTATGGTGTTTACTCACTGACCTGTGAAGTGAAGGTATTTGTGCAGCACTTGAAGTTTTGATATGTTTGGGGTGGCATTCTTTGTCAAATAGTGTAAACTAAAATTAATGTATTTTTCCATGACTGCTTTTATAAGAAATATAATGTGATTACTCATCGGGGACTGCTCAAATTGGTGAAACTTAATATAAAAAAATTAAATTTGGCAAAGCCTTTGCCATGAGTTCCTGTTTGAATTTTTTAGTTTTAATTACTAATTTATCATTGGCGAGATAAGCTGTTTTTTCCATCCATTCCTTTTTTAAATTAAAATCATTTGGGAAATTGAAAGGTACGACAATAACCTATTTATTATTTTCATATATCCTAAGCTACCTACTTCTAAACCTCACCATGCACTAAGCAGGTTTTGCCTGGCAAGCTTTTTTTATAAAAAACCCCTCGTTAGTGAAAATATTGTTAAAATTTGAAAACAAATACACACTCATGCCTAACAAAAAAAATAGCAAGAATATATTGACTTATTTTAAGCTAAAGTCACTATTACGAGGGCGACACTGAAAATTTCGGGAATCAAGGAAGTGACACAACATTACTATCTAAAAATGTATTTATTGCTTTTAGAAGTATTCTCCGCGAAATTTGACACATTTTTCCATACGATGGAACCAATCATTGAAGCAACCATTTCATTCGGAAGTTGGGGTCTCCAAAATGGCCGTTTTGTAGGCGTCCACAGCTTCTTCAGGTGATGAAAATCTCTGTCCACGCAATTTAATCTTTATTTTAGGGAAAGTATAGAAATCATTAGGGCTTAGGTCGGGGCTGTACGCCGGATGGTCTAATAATTCTATGTTTTCTTGCTCTAAAAACTCTTTTGTTCTGTGTGCGGTGTGAGAACTCGCATTGTCGTGATGGAGGATGATGCGGCGGTTGCAGTTCTCTTTACGGAGTTCAGAAACGACCTGTGGCAAACAAATGCTAGCATACCATTCTGCATTAACTTTTCTTTGTCTCTCAAGTGGAATAGTCGTAACATGGCCGGTTTTGGAGACAAACGTGGCCACCATTTTTTTTTGCAACACTCCGTGAACGAACAATTTTTGTTGGCTTTGACTCATTTTCGAACACCCAAACTCGTGACTGTAACTCGTGATTCGTCACCTGATACGATGTTGTATACAGCATTTGAGGATCCTGCGTGGAATCTTTCGAAAGTTCTGACGCACCAAGTAACGCGAGCCGCTTTTTTCTCTTCACAGGGCGAATGTGGTATCCATCGGGAAAACAACTTTTTTACACCTAATTGCATTTGCATTTGCATTGCATTTCATGCAAGATTATTTCTATTTGACTCATGCCAATGTCTAAAGTTGCCTGAATTTCGCAATATGTGACATGTCGATCTTCCTCAATCAGCTTACGCACAGCATCAACGTTTTCTTGTGTGACTGCAGTTTTTGGACGACCTTGACGGGGATCATCACTGAGCTTGACTTGATAGACTGACACGTCCACGTTGAAATTCAGCAAACCAGCGATAAATTGTGTTTTTTGGATGGGGTTTCATCACCAAATGCATAAATCATCCGGTCGACACACTCTTTTTTGTATTAAACCACTTCGAAAGTCATAATAAATCATCGCTCTTGAATTTTCTCGAGTCAATGCCATTTAATCAACGACTAAACAAGTTTGACAAAACCTTGTGACAAGACCGAGAATCTTTTTTTTAAATAAACAAATGGTATTCGATTTTTAAACCAAGGAGTTTTCAATTAAAAAGATTTTAATATGACAGGAACAGTGGAAATATTCCATTCCCGATACTTTTAGTGCAGCGTAGTATGATACTATCCGAACCATGCCGGTTAGGTGTTTATGATACATTCGTAGCTTTTGAAAACTGTAAATTATGTTAAACCCAAAACCATAAAAAGTATGAAAATCTCTCAAAGATAAGGCATAATATACGATTATACAAATCTAAGAACACTCCATGAATTATTAACCTATAATTTAATCAACTTACTTTACGACCGTTGGTTAGGCATTCAGCGTAGTAGTTGCTGTAAAATAATCAAAATAAGTAAAAAAGATTATGTCACATTGGTCTTCCTATCGAGATGAAACGGTTGACAAATTGGAGAATAAACTATAATGACAATGTGCCAATCCACATTATTGTCGATAGTGAATCCGCACAAGCACACCACTAGCTCATCGCAAAACACAACGGCCGTACTACGCTATATATCCACATAAATAAAGCACATTTTATGATATTCACATTGCTTGTACAGTCACTTAGCGTCATACTAAGGTAGTGGTTATGGACCAATGTATTTACTGCAAAAATATTACAGTGGCTGTGATATTTAAAACAAAAATAACGTAGTAAGAGCAAGAAATATTTTACGATTTGTTGTTTAGTATGATTTTAAAGAAAAATTTAATGAAATACTTTTACTTAGGTATGGTAAGTGATTCCATGATTAACAAAGTTTTTGTTTTGGCTTCAGTTTTTACAACATGGCATTCTGATAATATTTCACGATGACGGTTGAAAGCGCACTAATTCGCAGAGTCGGCTATTTTTATAGACACGCCCCCTTGTTACTTCTCCTGTTTTTTATATTTCTATGATTGGACGCAACGCAAATTGTATTGGATCAGCAGATATAAGTTACTTTCTTTCATCCAAGTACCGTTACAGCATTTTAAAGTTCACTGCTGAATATAGCCCTCCCCGTTGAATGCTTTATATTTGGCATAGTTTCCACGATCTATCACGCACGCTTTATCCGATTACGGAACCAAAGAAACGGGTTATATATTATAATATACAGCCAATATAATATGGTCCACGGCTAAGTATATGCATTCAATGAAATGTATATAAAAAGATATCATTGTAGGCATTCTCATACTTCTTGGAGCTGGGAAGAGTCCAT